CAGTTCCCAAAGATCCCCAGGCCTGATGACACAACCAGATCTTGAAGGACTTCCTAAATGACAGCAAGGAAGGGGCGAGCCTAACTTAAGGGGGAGAATGTTCCATAAGGAGGGAGCCACAGCAGAGAAGGCCCACCTCCTGGGACCCACCAAATGCAAGTCCCTGGCTGATGGAATGCGTAGCATACCTTCCCTGCCAGATCTAATGGGGCAGGCTGATGGTATTTGTACTTTGTACTTTGTGCTTTCTGTTCTTTAATAATAGTCATACAATGACTATTAAATTTGTTCTTTAATGAGGGGTTAATCTAGAGCTTTTACAGATTTCTACTGGAAAAACTCATGCTGCTGCTCTCATGAAAAAGTTGGTGAAGCAGTGTTTCCCTTGCCGAGGTCATGCTGGTAGATACTTTTGTGAAAATTCTAAGCATTCTTCTTCCAGGAAAGAAATGGCAAAGTTAAATGTCGGCTGCAGCAGAATGAAAAGCCAGTGAATGGACTGGCTCTTCAGGAATTCTCTCCAGACAAGGGGAGGAGCTGAGATCGTCCATGAGTGCTCCAGACGGTTGCTCCTCCAAGGAGACCGCAACACTTTGGAAATTGGGTATTAATTGCTTTTCAGCTATTAGGAACCTTTGGGACAACGAGTTTTACAGCACTGGCTGAGTTTCCTTCAATCCTTAGCGAAATAATTTTTAAATATAAGTTTAAGGACTTAAAACAATTTTTTTTTGGAATAAACAACAGAAGGATGGTTAGAATGTTGATTTCAGAAAGATACAAATGGACTAAGGGCCCAGATGGATTTGAAAATAAGATTTTGAAATTAATTATAAGAATCCTTCCTGTGGGAAAATGCTGCTGTTTTGAATTCTTGAAACAAAAACATGACTTTGAAAGTTGGACACTAGAGGGAACCAGAAAGAATTAAAGATTACAATTAAAGGAGAAGAACACTTAAATTTGACTTAGTAATACAGAATGGAGCAAAATACTTCAACATTGGATGTATTGAAGGATATTTGTAAACAACGGACCCAGAAGTTAATTTTAACAGTGTCTGCCATTATAGATAGACTGTCTTTAAAAGATGTTATGGAACAAGATTTACCAAACAAGACTGAGACTGATCTGAAAGTGGATTTAAAAATGACAGGCTACAAGAATGATGTGGAAAAAGATGTTACACTGGATATACAAATGAGACCGGCTGATGTCTTAATAATTAAAAGGGATATATAAATAACTGAAAGAGTGACTTGGATAACTTTCCTATATTGGATTTACAAAAGAGATCTGTTAAAGTTATGAAGAATTTTATGAGAAAAGACAAAGAAAAAATGAAAATAATCAAATTCTAAGAATTATTTGAAGGGATTAAAGATCAAGATTATTAAAAATAAAAGGAAGGAATTTAAATTTGGTTTATTTGATCAAGGTTAAAGTAGATAGGTTGTTATCTCTGGTAACACTTAATGGACTTTTGCTGATCAGGACTGAACAAAGAGGTTTTAAGGATTTGTTTATAGATAAGAGATGGGATATGGGAAGAAGAGATCATTTGTTGTATTTTAAAAGAAGGTGATAAGGTACTAAAATTGTTTATATTTGTGATGAAAGGGGAAGTCATTTCTTTATTTCTTTACTATATTCTTATTTTTTCCTCTTTTTTTCTTTTTTATTTTCTGCACTTTATATTTTTTTCTGTTATTTTATTTTTCTTAGTTTGTATTAGTTTTTATTTTTCAATTGTAATGTATAATAAAATTATTTTTAAAAATTCTGAGCATCATTCTTTGCACTTCTTCCCGTACGAGGGGAGTGCCCTGTTGGCATTTCTTCTACATTTTGAGAATTGAGTGCTACTTTGTAGAGGGGAGGCTGTTTATGGATCTGTGTAATGTTACGATTGTAAGTAAGTATTCTAGCAAGTTTGTCACAGAAATACTTACTGCTTGTTTCTTGGGTTGCTTGGTCCTGGGATTGTCACAGCATTGGTAAGGAAATGCAATTATTGCTCTTGACAAAGAAGAGGAGGCAAAAGTGTATGGAATGAAGAAAATAGGCACAAGGAAAGATGTTGGAAAACAAAAAGATCCAGAATACAAAATAGAGCCATGGAAAAGGAAAGGCGTAAGCAAGAGGGAATCAAAGAACTGACAACGAAGATTAGATAATCTAAAATAATACGATCATCTGACTACATAGGTGCCACAATTTGCAAAAGCAGCAGGGGCTTGTGGCTTTCCACAGTAGGGCACGTGGAAAGCCGTGAAGGTATTCTGTTGTGCTATAGAAGGGTGCTTCCTAATTGCTGTTTTGCAGGTATCAGAAGTGATCCTGCCAGTGCTAGATTTAGTATAGACCTTACAAGAACAATCAAGAAAATGGCAGTATTGGAAAAGGAACTTAAATCTGTTCAGAGGACATTTTTGCCTTACAGCTTGGATAAGAATGCTGAAAAATTGATTGAAAGATCTATTAGAATTTTACTGTGTTTCAGAAATAATTTAGAAAAGGCACCAACTCTTCCCCCCCCCCAAAATGGCTGCATAAAATTGCAGGCAAGTTACTACATTCATATCCACTCACATTCTAAAGCATTGTTTTAGAAAGGATCTGGAACACTAAACAGTCCTAAAAAAAGTAGCCAAGGCCTAGTAGTCAGATGGGTAAAATGTAATTCTGATAGTCTAAGAAGAAGAGAAAATGCAAGTGCTTCTATTATTTGCTTTAGAGGATTTCTACTCCAGCACCTTTCCTAAAACTTGCAAAATAGCTTACTTTATAACTGCTTAATAGTAACTACTCATGGAAGAAATATATTTTATGAGAAATTATGCTAAAAGTCCTTGAGGGTGTATAGGTCTCCTAAGGAAACGTAAATGGAAGAGTAATGGCATATAAATTGATGCAAATAAATGCAGTCACCAATTAGGGAGATTTGTGAAACACATTTTTTATTATTTATCCAACTCCATATCTGACTGATGTGGATAGATGAGGTACAGAATACCTCAATGGCTTTCCACGTGTCCTACTGTGGAAAGCCACATTGATGACACTGAACTTGTATTGGAGCTGGGAGCTGAGAGTCTCAGGGGAACATGTTAGACAAGGAAAGGATGGTGGGGCATCTTGGGAGTAAAAATACAGCTTCTCAAAAGATGGCTACTGACTGAACAGATGACCTCCAAGACCTGGATTAGGTTCCCAGACTAGAGGTTTCCCATGCCCACTCTATATGAATTTATCCATTTCTGCTCTTTCAGTTGTCAATTTAAAATTCCAGTAGCTTAAGTTTTAGAAAGAGCCAGTTTGGTGCAGTGGTTAAGGCATCAGGCTAGAAACCAGGAGACTGGGAGTTCTAGTTCTGCCTAGGCACAAAGCCAGCTGGATGACCTTGGGCCAGTCATTCTCTCTCAGCCCTAGGAAGGAAGCAGTGGTAAACCACTTCTGAAAAATCTTGCCAAGAAAACTGCAGAGATTTGTCCAGGCAGCCTCCAAGAATCAGACACAATTGAATGGATTAAAAAAAAGTTTCTAAAGTTAAGTTTCTTTGTGAAAGTATAAGGTATAATACTTCATTTTTATTAAGATTGCTATTATGTGAATGCAGGTATGTAAAATTGTGCAGCTAGTTGGCAGCTGATAGTTTTCTATTTATATAGCTGTTGTTTACTATTAAGTAATTATTGTTTACTGTCTTACAGGTATCAAAAAGTATGTTGTTGGCTTAATTATCAAGACCTCCTCTGATCCATCGTGTGTTGAAGTGAGTAAGAGTTTTTTGGGGGTTGGAAGATGGTCCTTGCTAATGAAATAGGATATGCCTTAATTTCTTTATCTTTCTCTCTCATCCTCTCCCTTCCCCCTCCCTTAGAAAGAGAAAGTATACATTGGGAAATTGAATATGATTCTTGTTCAGGTGAGTTGAGTTTCTGATCTTTATATAGTATTTGTAAGACTGGAGTCATAATCATTCACTATATATGCTTTTCATGTTTTGCAGATACTAAAACAAGAATGGCCAAAACATTGGCCAACATTCATCAGCGATATTGTTGGGGCCAGCAGAACAAGTGAAAGCCTTTGCCAGAACAACATGGTTATCTTAAAACTACTGAGTGAAGAAGTTTTTGATTTTTCCAGTGGACAAATAACTCAAGTGAAAGCCAAACATTTAAAGGACAGGCAAGTGATTAATATAAGGAATATACCAGAAGTGGAGTCCTAAAGTGTAATGAAAGCCAAATCAACTTCTTCACCTGATGTCAGGGGCCTGAACATGAGAAAGTGATATCAACTAAGACACATTTTATTGAGTTCTATTCCTTGATACAATTTATTATGCAAGGAGATGGGGATGCAAGGAGCCATTACTTCCCATTTCCTCTGCCACAGAGAAAAGTGGCTTGTCTACTGTACCTCTTTGTCTTCCTCTGCCAAAGAAGATACATGCACACACAACCCCATAGCAGCTGAGCTGCCTCATTTGAAAACATGTGATGAGCCCTGCTGTATTTTGTCCAGAACATATCTTCCTACCTCAGGAATCACTGCATCTTTGGTGAAGGTGCAGAATAGCCTTTGGTGATTCTGACAGCTTTATCTGTGCCCTTTCTTTTTAGGGGGAAAAGGGCTAGTAAACTACTTTAGATTAACCAGCTGGAGATTTCCATTTTTTGATGGATGCAAATAGGCTGTCTCTGTCTTGAATATATTTATAAGGATTTTATATTAAAAGCCTCCTTTTGTTATTTAGCACTGTTTATATGTATCTTAAACAGGTTGTGCTGTAGAAATTAAGCTTTTTAAAAAAGTGGCTTAAATAATGTTTACTTTATTCTTTCATTTAAATGAGTATTTAGTAAACTGGTTGCAATATTAGCAATAACATGACAGGATAATGCAAACAGCTAGAGAATCCCTGCTGGAGGGCCCCTCATGACATTAGGTGCAATGGGAGTGGGAGTTCTCTGTTGGGACTCTCCTCAGTAACAGCTTGTTACTGGCTTCCATTCATGAGCTTCTGGATGCTTAAAAAAGCTTGACTATTCCAGGGAGCCTTTGGGGACTTATTAGCAGAAGATAAAATATTGATATGTCCACATATGTGAAAAAAGAAAAATACTGTACGTGGGGTATAGTTATTTTTTCACATGACTGTAGCTTATATTTGGTTTAATACATTAGTATTTATATACCACCTAGAGTTTGTTAGGATTAAGATGGTAAATAAACTGCATGATACTAAACATGTTTATTTTTATTTTCTTTTGCTAATAGCATGTGCAATGAATTCTCACAGATATTTCAGCTGTGTCAATTTGTGATGGTAAGTTTAATAATATAGTTTTTGTTTAAAAAGTACCACTTCATAATATTGGTGGATTTGCTTATATATCATTTTATTAACAGGAAAACTCTCAAAATGCTCCTCTCGTTCATGCAACATTGGAAACTTTGCTTCGATTTCTCAACTGGATTCCACTGGGCTATATTTTTGAGACCAAATTAATCAGTACGTTAATATACAAAGTGAGTATTTGCTATTCATGGATTAATTTACCGAGAGCAAAAATTAGATCTTAAATGTGGCTAATAAGCAAGACATTTGTTGCAGCTTATGTTGTTTTTTCTTCCTTTATAGTTTTTAAATGTTCCTATGTTCCGAAATGTGTCTTTGAAGTGCCTGACAGAAATTGCTGGTGTCAGTGTAAGTCAGTATGAGGAACAATTTGTCACACTCTTTACTTTAACCATGATGCAGTTGAAACAGGTAACTTTCACCTTCAACTATGTGATCTTTTTTATTTGCTCATTAAATGGGTAGCAAGTTTGTTTCCTTGAATTTGTCCTGCTCACATTGAACAAGCTGCTCTTGGCTTATCTTAAAAGCATTTTTTCCCCAGAAGCCTTTTCTTATCCTCACAAACTGCAAAAGGATTAATATGCAAATTATCCATTAATAATTGTACAAAATGTCAAGTGCATGGTAATATATGGGCTACATTCAGACTCTTCCTTGAAAGGAGATAATCATTAGCTTTGGGCTGGACTTTGATGTAAGGCTTGAGGTCCTTTTGGCCCTAAAATACTTCAGAATGCAACTCCTGTTGAATTTATAAGGGGTTAAGTTCTTATACCATTCAGAAAAGTCAGGATTATCTGATTCAAAATCTTTTTATGTATTTATTTTTCTATTTTGCCTTCCATCTAGAACTACTTTATTGACCTTAACCTTATTTACTTACTACTATTATAAGAAAAAATCTTATAGATACCTTTAACCATAAATAGATAGCTTATTAATTGTAGCTCCTGCTCACAGTGTGCTTAAATTCTGTCATGGGAAATACTTACTTTTGACTTACATGGAGTCTGGTCCACTTAGAAGTTCTTCTGAGCTCAAAGATTGATTGAGCAATTCAAGAAGTTTTACAAAGTATCCTAGACCATCTGCTTGGGTAGAAGAGAAGCGAATATTCCTGTCCTGTGATTTTGTTCTTCAGGGACCTCTTTTAGTCATGGTTCTATTCTGGGCTATTGCAGGTGTTATTCATAAACCAATCCTTAATAGCTAGCAAGTGTTTCTTGAAGACTCTACAGGATGATCAGTTAACTGAAACATAAGAGCATTAGGTCATTTTGGTTAAATAATCAAACTCATTTGTGTTGGTGCACACAGAGTTGGTTTATTTATTCACTTTGCTTGTATGCCATTCATTCCTGAAGGCTCTGGATGGCTAACCCTGACAGCATATAAAATAATAATCCTCCAAATATATATATATAAATAACCAAAAAATACAAATGCCATGTGCCTGTGAAACCCCATTTCCAGTTAGAACACCACCTTCTGTGCAAGTATAGAAAGGGTTTTATAATGTTACTAAAACCTACAAGGGACAGAGCTGATTGAATTTCTGCCAGGACAGAGTTTCAAAGGGTGAAGGGGTTACTGAAAGCACCCACTGCCAGGCAACAATACCATAGGGATGGGACTGGGGCAGGGGGGTGGGAGTTGCCCCTTTTTGAATTGGTTGTATGGGCAGATGAATACAGGAGGAGACAGTCCCTCAGATAACCAAATCTGGAATCATATCAACCCTTAGGTGATAACCAGCACCTTGAATTGCACTCAGAAGCCAATTGGCAACCAGTGGAGCTACTGAAGTAAAGAGGTTACCTGAACATATTGGGACATACCTATCACTGCCAAGAACACTATATTCTGCATCAGCTGTAGCTTCTGAATGTCCTTTAAGGATAACTGTGCATACAATGCATTGCAGCAGTCCAAGCAGAAGGTGACTAGGGCATGAGTAACTGTAAGGAGGGCTTCTCAGTCCAGGAAGAGCCACAACTGGCACACATGATGTAGCTGTACAAAAGCCCTCTTGGCCACAGCTGCCACCTATTCCTTGAGTAGGACCTGTGAGTCCAGGAGGACACCCAAATTGTGGATCACCTCTGAGCAGGGGAGTACAACCCTGCCAAATATGGGCTACCCTGGAATTATTTGACCCGCAGACCCTAAGCCACTCATCTTGGAAAGATTCAGTCTGAGCTTCCCTCTCCAGACATTGACAGCCACCAGGTACTAGGATATCACTTCCACCAAATCACTCATTTGGCCCAGGGTTAAGATGCATAACTGGATGCCATCAGCATATTGATAACATTGGACCCTGTCCTGACCAGTGGCCTCCTCAGGAATTTCATACAGATGTTAAAAAGGAGTAAAGAAAGGAGAGATCCCAGAGGCATTCCACATAGTAGGGGTATCTGGACAGATCTCTCTACCACTGATTGGAACTGCCCTGTCAGGAGGGAGCAAAACTATAGCAGAATAGTGACCCTCACTCCAGTCACTTGGAGATAGTCCAGGATACCTTGTTAGATGGTATCAAAAGCTATCAAGGAGGACCAAGACGGTTATACCTCCTCAATCCTGATCTCTCCACAGGCCATCAACAAACACAACCAGTGCACTTTCTATGATGTCTCATGACCTGAAACCTGAGTGCTGAGGGTCTAAATAATCTATTTCCTTTTGAGTTCTTTGCAGTTGAAAGGACTAATTTCTCTAAAAGGAAGATAGCTGATAGGTCCAAAGTTGTCAAACAGCCAGATTGAGCAAAGGCTTCTTGAGCAGGGGGCTCATTACAGCCTGCATCAGAGGCGATAGAAGCACCTCTCATTTAAAGAAGCATTGATTACTGATTGGGTGCAATCTCCTGCCAGCTCATGGGAGGCCTTAATCATGAGGGTCCCATCCACTTTCTTGGGACTCAGACTCAAAATAGCCCCACTTCATAAGGCAAGACCCCAGTCATCTCTATGGGTGCTGTCTAGCTGGAGTCCAGCTCCTCTCAAACCTGAGTGTTTTTGCCTGCCAAATGCTGCAATAGTTCTTCAGTGATTCTTCAAATGGTCTTGAGTATCTTTCTGTAGAAGGGAGGGAGTCACCTTAAAAGGGCCAAAGGGCAGTATTAAGCCAGTGTCTTAACGGTAGCAAAATATTACCTTTTTGCTGCTTGAATCGCCACTGTATATGCACCAACGTAAGATTGTACAAGAGTCTGATCAGTCTGAAGATAGGTCTTCCTCCAGTAATGTTCTACTTCATCACCCTAAGCTGCTCAGTAAACCACTGAGCTGCAGTGAATCTGTGAACAAGGAGATGCCCCTCTAGCACAATCCAGTCCAGCACTCTGGAGACCCCTTTATTCCACTGGGCAACCAGAATCTCAGATGAACTGCCCACCAGATTCTTGGGAAATTCCCCAAAAGGCCTCTGAAAAACCACAAGTTCCATAAGGCATCTGCAGTGGACTGATCTAATAGGTACTCCTTTGCTGCAGAGGGGGAATCACAATATAAAATTCCATAGCATAGTGTGTGATCTCTCATGTGTCAGGTCCATGGTTGCCATGGCAGCTGTGAATTCCTGAGTCACTCCAGACCCCCTCGCCGAAGAAAGATTGGTTAAAGATTGGTTCCCCCAATGCTAGTATCTTGGGAAATTCTACCATCACAACAATCGGGTTAAGCAAGCTCAAGAATACAGTGGGGCGAGTAGTGCACAAGCAACAAACCCAACTTGCACCTCTGGCCCAGCTCAGTTTACTTCCAGTTATCTGTGGAGTAGCACATCTTAAGTCTCTCAGATTGCAACAGCTACCTACCCACTGCCGGCCTAGGAACTGCATCTAGTGGGAATCTCAAAAACCAGGTGAACAGATTTCCAATTGAGGAACACCATCATCCTCTTGCACCCAGATTTCAGTAATACAAAAGTAAAAGGAGTACATCTGAATGGTTAATCTGCTCAAAGTCAGCCTTAACGCTGTATTTGAATTGTATGCCATGTTTAGCTGAAAATATATGTGGGACTTGCAAGTGGACTGAAATTCCATTCCTCTCAGTTGAATTATTTATGGCTTCAATCCAAAGAAAAGTAAATCAGAATATTTAAGTGAAGATTTGTTACAATAAGTATGGAAGAGTATTGGTTGTCTTTTCTGGAGTGCCTACTAGCTTCGATACTGGCACTTGGTTAACTGGAAAAGTTAACTTATTTGAATTGTTTGAGACCAAGCTATTCTAAATATAACATGGAAGTCTAGTCTTGTATATGGATGAGAACATTCATGAGTTTCTCAGATGCAAGTTGTGTAGGAAGTATCTTATAACTCTAGGGCAGCCTTTCTCAACTGGGGTTCCGCAGGAGATCATGATTTAAAAAAATATACATCATTTTTTGAACTTCATGTACCATGCAATGCTAGCACTCAAATTTTAATGCTCTGAAACTCAGTTTCCAGCCTGTTGTTTTGCTGTTGTTGTAAACATTGTAAAACATGGATTGTGGATTAGAAATGAATTGTATTGTGAAGTTTTCGTATTTTTTTGCAAATTTTATGTAAGGGTTCACTGAGACCAGAAAATTATTTCAAGGGTTCCTCCAAGGTAATTATTTCAAGGGTCCCTCCAAGGTAAAAGTCCCTCCAAGGTTGAGAGAGGCTGCTCTAGGGAACAAATACAATGTAATGTCATTGTTAATGTATGCTTTATAATGTCATACACAAAATAAAAACAAGATTATTGGCATGACTTTCAGTTCAAAATTATAATTATATTTTACTTTCTTAGATGCTTCCTTTGAACACCAATATTCGGCTAGCATACTCCAATGGAAAAGATGATGAACAGAATTTCATTCAGAATCTCAGCTTGTTTCTCTGTACCTTTTTAAAAGAGCATGGTCAACTTATAGAAAAACGTTTAAATCTGAGAGAGACATTAATGGAAGTAAGTTCCTTTTTATTTTTAGTCACATCTCTGTCAAATTGAAGATTTGCAAGATAAATAACAAGACTTGCTTTGGTGACAGGATGTAAAATAAATAAACAGTTTGCTTATTTCTATTCTATTGTTCTCTATATCTCATACGTTTGATTAAAAGTATATTGAGAGCTTGGAGTCAACCATGACAGCAATCTAACTTAAATTAGGAAACCTCATAAATCTATGCCTCAAATGTTCCTCTCTTAACTTCAGCTATGTCTGAGTGATCAGTGCAGATACTGTAACTGCTGTATAAGATATCTTAAGAAACTTTTTTTTAAAAAACCAGCAATTGCCTTTTTATTTTTATTTTTTTTAAGTATTTTGGTCTCAGAGTGCATGGTGAAGTAATGCTGACATATGAATAGGGTCAAGATGTTAGACTGTTCTTTTGTGATTTGGAGCAGAGGATGGGCTATCCTAAAGATGAAAAGAGTGCATTTAACTTCACGTTATAAGAATTCAGCAGTTTGCAGGAAAAGATATGAAAATTGCACAAAAGCCATTTTGCTGTCAAATTTTAGAGGTAAAATCTGGGACTGTAAATTGGGAGCTCATGGGTCTATATGCAGCTGGTGGCATTGATCATGCTTGTGGATGCTGCTTGTGGGACCAGGATAAGATAAGGGAGGTGTGACTTTCCTGGTCATATTTGATTTCTCTGGTTTTGATACTATCAATCATGGAATCCTACTGGACCATCCCTGGGAGTGGGAGGCACTGTGCTACCCTTTTCTCCAGGGACAATTCCAGATGGTGTTGGCAGGGGGGCAGTTGAGGCCCTTGCTTTGTGTAGTTCCTCAGGGATCAGCACTTTCCCCACTCCTGTTTATATGCACATGAGGCCATTAGGGGAGGTCATCTGATAGCATGGGGTCAAATATCATTGATATGCAGATGTTACCAGTTATGTGTCTTGACCTGTGGCCAACTAGGTAATGCTGTTATGATTCTGTCCCATTGCTGATGGCTGTTAGATTCTGGATGGGGAGGAACCAGCTTAACGCTGACAAGACCAAATGATTTTGGATTCAAGGACCCTATATTTCTGGGGATTCTCCATTTGTGTTGATGGAAATGCACTTTCCTAGAGAGATTTTGTGCGCAATTTGGGGGTCCTCTTGCTGGCTTTTACTCATCAAGCAAATGACAGCCACAGCTAGAAGAGTGTTTGCATAGATTCATCTGGTGCACAGTCAGGATGCTCTTCTCACAGTCATTCTTGCCTTAGTCATCTCTCATTTGAACTACTCTACATGGGGCTGCTCTTGAAAACCACTTGGAAGCCAGAGCTTAGTCCAAAATGCAGTGGTGCAAATAGTGATGGATACACCTCATAATTTATTTTATTTATTATATATCACATTTACATCCCACTGCAATCATATGCAGACTCTTGATCTGAATCGCACCCAGAAGCCAGCAGGTGACCAAGGCGTTGGCTATTACCTATAAAGCTCTTCGTGGCTCAGGGCCTAGAAACCTACAGGACTCTGTTCTCCAATGAAGCGATGCCATATTATGGGACTTCAGAGATGAGCCTTCTCTGTGGCTGCCTCTGCATTATAGAAACAAAATCACAAAATCTGCACAGGTCCTGGGGCAGATTGATTTGTGACCCCTCTTTCAATGTTGTCTTAATTTTGATTGATTGTGGAGTTTTGTTTCTCCACCATGGTTTCATATTGTGTTGTTATTATTTTTCCCTGTCTGTTGTTTTACATTGCATTAATTTAATGTTGTACATTACCTGCTTTGGTGATTGGGCAGCTTATAAATTGATTGATTGATTGATTGATTGATTGACTGAAACTGCCTATCCTGATTTATAAAGCGCCTCATCTGAACATGTCCCATGTTCTTTTTCTTCTGTTGCTATTAGTGGTCAGTGTTGATAAACCATTAACTCCTTTTGTGGCTGGTTGCAGGTTTCTGGGAAAATACAGTGGGGCAAAAAAGTATTTCGTCAGCCACCAATTGTGCAAGTTCTCCCACTTAAAAAAATGGGGGGGGGCTGGAATTTTTATTAATGGTATTCCCCCACTAAGAGAGGCAAAAATAAAAAAAAAAATCCAGAAAATCACA